AGTCAAAAATGAGAAAAAAAGGATAAAAATGGTGATGATTACCTAATTCTCAAACTAAATAATGAGGAAACTATTTTTGTTTTCTCCCGCAAAGTAAGTGAAGAAAGATGAAACTGACTAGAGCAGGGAAAGGAATATAACTTCACTGTAGAAGAAGGCAAAAATGGCAATAATCTTTTAGTAGATTTTGAAATTGAGATAAATACTTAAAAGTCTGGTCTGCCTGATTACCCGGAGACAAAGAGGTTAGGGAGAAAAAGAAATAATTGGTAACTAAAGCCAACGGTGGTTAATGGCTCTATGCGAAAAAAATATTTTGTTGCTGGACAATGAGTAAAAACTTCTCTCCATTTAATCTATTTCAATTTCAATGGGTTCACGTAATTTTGAGGCATTTAGTTTATTATTACGGTAATCTTCATGCTTCTTTACGATAAAATATACTCATTTTGGTTTTTCTCTTCAATCCGCTTAAAACATCCTTGTGGACACTTATTACAGAGGAGTTTAGCCAATTTACTTTTTGCTATTTTCAAGTTCACGTGGCGATGTATTCTGACAAAAGAAGGATCAATCTTTAAACAATCAGGTAATTTACAAATTTCATACTGAGAGATAAATTGCTTTTCTTCCTCTTTAATTTCTTCTTCATTTTGAGAAGTAATTGTTAGCAAACGAAAGAGAAAAAAACCATCTTCTTCCCTTATTTTAGTTATTAGGCAGGGCCTCCCTCTTCTTATTATGTCTCATTCGTCTTTGTAATCAAGATCTATGAAGATAATTTGATTTAATTTCGGTTGTCCTCCGCCTTCACTCATCGATTTTATTTATTAAAGTCCTATTTTTTCGGCTACGTGTAAAGCAAAATTGTGATAGTAGTTAATCATTTTTGAAGTAGTTAAAAATTTTGGTCAAAAAGGTTTTTAAGTTAGGATTTAAGTTCTTAATTGAGTTAGATCTATGAGGAATAACAAGAAAATGAAACTTATGGTAAATGTCATAGATTATTCCTCCATGCTCAAAAGCCCAAAATTTTTCAGGAAATAAGTATTTTCTTTCTTTTGCAGCATAAAGCATTTGAGTAATTTGTAATAATTTATTAAGACGAAGATTACCAACAGTTGGCACAGAATTCCCCTCCACTTTTATCATTTTGTCTTTAATAAAGTATTTTCTCTCAGGATCCAGCGAAAGGAAAAATTCTGCTATTTCCAATACTGGAACTTGCTTATTCTTGATTGTGTCCATGATATTGTTTTTATGCTATTATACTATATTAACTATATTAGTTTATATCTTAATTTTACTCTTTTATGTAGAACCTGTATTCAGATATATATAAAATTAGAATTTATTTTATAGTTTCTGTCATATCTTTTTTAGGATATAGACAAAAAGGAAAATTAAGAGGTAAAAAATTCTGATAACTTATAATTTTATATAGGGACAGAGGGAAATTTAATGTTCTTCGGTGGTAATTTTGCTTTTATTTACAACATATTTTTCCTCCTTTTAGGATTGATTTCGCCTAAAATTTTTTTTTGATATAAGATAACGATTCTTCTCTATTGTAAGCGAGAGAACTAGTAAACTCGTAAAATATCATATATAGTTATGACTAATCTTGATAAAAGCGAATTAGCAAAAGTAGGAGTTCAATTTGGTGGTCCTACTCGGTGGCGTAATCCCCAAATGTGTCCTTACATTTTCCAAAAAAGTAGTAAGAATAATATAATTGACTTACAAAAAATTATTACTAGTTGTCAAGAAGTTGGCAATTACCTTCAGTCCTTAATTGAAAAAAAGAAGACAATTTTATTTTTGGCTACTAAAAAGCAGTCTCGTGAGATTGTGAAAGAGGCCGCGATTAAATGTGGTATGCCTTACATTGTTAATAAATGAAAAGGTGGCTTTTTAACTAATTTTTCCGAAATGAAGAAAAAATTAAGGGAATTGCACGGGCTAAATAGTTTTTTAGCAAAAGATAATTTCAAGCATTTAGTAAAAAAGGAACAAGTTAGTTTAGAAAAAAGGAGAAATAAATTACAAAGTATTTATGAAGGAGTAATTAATTTGTATCGTCAGCCTGATGCTTTATTTATTATTGGTCTCAATAAGGAAAAAACGGCTTTTAAGGAAGCCAAAAAAGTTGGAATGCCAGTGATCGCAGTTTGTAATACTAATTGTAATCCTGCTTTAGTTGATTATGTTATTCCTGGTAATGACGAAAATATTAAGTCCATTACTTTTTTTGCTAATTTGGTGGCGGATGCTATTAATGAGATTAAAGGAAAAAACAATATTGAAGAAAGCAGAAAAGTAGAATAAAATAAATGATGAGTGTTGAAAAAAAAAAAAAAAAACAGTAATAATCACTAGCATTATCATTGTTTTAGCCCTTATTATTGGTTCTTTTTGGTTAGGAAGAGCCACAGTAAAAAGTGAAGTCTCAGAAACTAAAAATAATCAACCTTCTCCAAGTGATAATGGGGAGATAAAACAATTAAAATCTGAATTAAGTTCTCTAAAAAGTGAATTAAATAGCCTACAAGATAACCCTAAAAAAAGCCAATTAGAAAGTCAATTATCTAGTTTAGAAAGTGAAGTAAAAAACCTCACTAAAGGAGAGCACGATAAATCAACTATTAAGGAATTAGAAAGAGAAATTAAAGAGATTAAGGAAAAAATTAAAAATGATAAACGAGAGGATGGCCCGCCACCTTATACTCCACCTACTGACGAAGATCAATTACAGTTTACAGTTTATTATTTTGCGGAATTGGGACAAAATCATATGTGATGTGATGTAGACACTGAAAACAGCGATAAAGTTTTACTAATTGACAAAGAGAATTCAATTTTTCCGAATAACAAGTTAACTAAAAAAGGTCATAATTATACCATTACTTTCTTGGCCCAGGATGCCGAGAAATTTCATAGTCAAAACCATGTGTATTATTTCAGCAAAAATAATAATAAGTTCACTTTAAAACCTCATAATCCCGAGCCAAGTGATAAGAATGAATTAAAAGTTATTTTTGGCGAAGAGGGTTATAGTCCAGAAGATGGCGAACTTTGTTTTATGTTTTCTTTTTTGGAGCCAAAATCGACAGAAGAAGTTAAACATTTTTGTGTCAGCAAAAGTCATCCCCAAGTTAAAGAATTATTAAAGGCCGGAAAACTACAATTAGATAAAAAATTTACTATTCGTTATAAGAAAGTTGATTCTCACCGAGGTAAGATTTATTATTTTAATGAGTTTAATCAAGATTTAGAAATTATTGAAATTTAAAGCATTAATTTTGAGAAATTTGAAATTAACTTGGAAATGTTAGAAAAAATATCTAGTTTTAGGTCTTAATTTAACTTTTCTTTAATTTTTGTAGCATTTTTTACTTTTTGCTTATAAAACTATTCAAGACTTTCAAATTCAAAGAAAAATAAGGTCTTTTGTTGTATGCGTTTCTTAAATTATCTTTTATTTTTATTCCTCTCATAATGGCTAATTAGGTCGGGAATAAGTGAGGTTTTTGGTTAGCAGTAAGTTTATTTCTCCTGTTTAGTGTTTGGAAAGTGAGGAATAAAATACTTATTTTGATAAAAAGGTCGGAAATAAATAATAGATAATATCCTATATTATCTAAAAAAAATAGTCATTTTTTTTGCTTTCCTCAGGATTATTCCTGATAACATTTGAAATATTATGAAAGCAAAAGAAGTAATAAAAGAAATAAAAAACAATGGAGTTTCAATTGCTTCCTCCGAAGAAAAGCAATTAATCAAAATTCAAGGGACTTTAACTTCTTCTCTCCAACTCAGAGGCGAAAACATTCAGGAACCCTACTATTATGCGTTTATTAAGTTAAAAGGACAAAAGGTTGATCTACCCACTATTTTCAAAATCAAAGATGACCAAGGAGAACTGACTAAACCCAATTTAAAAAAATCTGATGAAGTGGAGTTAATAGGCAATTACTCTAATTCTCAGCAGAATGTCCGTAAATCTTTTACTTGCTATTCTTACCAACTCTTAAACGAAAAAAGAATCCGTAAAAAATGTTTCGATTGCGGCGATACTTTTACTTGCTACCAACTTAAAAATTACGACTATTGCCGCAGTTGTGAAATAAATGGTAATCGTTATGTTTTCCGGGAAAGTAAATGTTCCGAATGTGATGGTTCCGGCTGAATTAAGTTTAGAAATCAACCCCCTCGTTCTTGTAAAACTTGCTATTTAGACAATCGAGTCATTTTAGAACAAGCCAAAAGCCAATTGCCTGAACTGGAAGCCGAAGCAGAAAAGATTAGCCAAGCCCGCCAACAATTAGAGAAATAACATGCCTAAAAACCAAGAATTTATCGGCTGAATAGTCAGCAAAGAACAGAAAAAAGTTTATGACAAAGGGGAATGATACGGCAATCCCTTCTTTAAACTCACCGCTATTAAAGAAAAAGACCAGCAAAAATTAACCCTTTTTGTTTATTCTAATTTGGTTAGTGAGGAAATTTTTCAAACTATCCAGCAAAGTCAGTATATAGATAAAAGATACCTCTTTTTTTGTGAAAAGAGAAAGCGAGGTTTTGTTCTTCATAAATGACAAGAATCCCAAACAAATAAGCCTGATGAAAAACCTTAACACCATCCAAAAAAAACTCAAATTCCATTGTTCCGTTTGCCAAGCTACTTGACAGTTGCTAAT